TGTTTCTCTGTAACTTCCCTATGTTTTAAACTGGTTTTACAGTCTCTATTCACCTACAAGACTAAAAGTGCATGTATCACATCCACCATTAGCAATGTTGCTCTTGCAATGGACAAGACCATATTGGAGAATGAACAATTATAATTGCAAATTCACTTAGTGTATTTTCACAAAAATTGGCAATCTTTTAGTGAGCATAAAAAGTATGCTGTATACAAAAACTCAATTTTTTTTAATTAAAGTATTTTCATCATTGGGATAACTTATTTTCATTTTAAAGTTTTCATATTTAATTTACATAATCTCTAGCCCTCCTAAATGAACATCAAGTTTTTCTTATGTAACATTGTACATTTTTATCTGTAAATTTCTCCACACAACAAATTTTTTATGAAGATCTAGCAGACAGAGCTGTTACTGATCTTGCAGGTTCTTATGGAACCAATAAATTAAAAAAAACAACACTAAAACAAAAGTGATACCTGTATTAACAGAAATTATTTGTTACAAAATGAATGCCCTAAATTTTAAGGCATATTAAAAGACATAAAAACTCGAAAACTGAACATTTATGTAAAAAAAAAGGGTTATTAAACTGCAAGGTGATCAATGTCACCTAGCATGTCTAAATTGTGTCAAATAGCTTTACACTTTGTGTAACAATCACTGATTCTGAAAAAGCCTTTTCTGTATAAAACAGGCTCAAGACAAATTTCAGATGCTTATGGAGGCTGAAAAGATACTATTTATAGAGAACTGTAATGTTAGGCCCAGAAATTTCATTGTATGTCCTAGTACTGTAATTGAAATGTGGGCCATTGGTAAGAACAGAAATACACGGCTTTAACAACCACACAAAACCACATTAGTCCCAGGCTGATGCAATAATAATGAGAAACTGTAATTTTCAAGTTGAGAGAGAGAGGCTTCTTCAAAATGATATCCTATACCAAAATAAGACAGTTAAAGATCAATCCACAAAGGACACCATTTTAGTTCATCATTAACCACTTGTAAAAATATCATTGCAAAAAACTGAAGTGGGGAAACATTTGGGGAAGATTGATAATTGCATAATTAGGTTTGATGTTTTGCAACATAAGGAGATTAATAAAAATGAATTTTAATTCTTAACTTTCAAAGTCAATTTTTGAGACCATGAGAAAAAAAACTTATTACTCATTAATGAATTAAAAGGTTACTTAGGCCACATACGTTTCATAAAGTTTTAAAAATAAATTTGTTCAAAGTAGGCACATAACTAAAAAGAGTAAATGATAACAGAGAAGATCAAACCTCACTGGCTTATTAAGGACAAAGAGTAAGAAGCCTAAACTGACAGATACAAGGTATGAAAAATTACTAGGCCACCTGCACTAGCAAGTAAAAATTGGCTAATATCATGTAGATTTATAAAGCATTGTACAAGGGAAGAGCTAAACTTTAAAATAATGTACACAACTTGTTAATCATTCTTAATAAAAGTTCTGACATTTACAAGTTTTCAAGGAGTGGTCTTGTAAAGTATACTTGAAGGTTTGATCAATAATTTAAAAAATACTTATCAGGTAGTTAGAGACTTATAGGTTATAATTGCTTCAACGGCAAAAAGTTCAAACTGGTTGGACACACACACACATTCATGTTTTGCATATTTTAAGTACTTTAAAGGCAAGGAAATGTTAAACTTGGGAATGGACCTTTAAAGGATGCTGATGTTTATACCAATTAATTATGACTGACAATTCTTCTATCAAATAATACGTGTAGTTATTATATAACTGTTACTTCTTTCCGATTCTTGATATAAATTTATAACAGTTTGATACTATGTTTGCCGTGACAACTTAATGTATTTATTGTTTTTTTTTAGATATTAGTAGTTAGAACCACTATGTTAGAGTCATATTATCAACACTTGAAAATTCAACTGACTAGTTAGTGTACTTTTTAAACAGAGAAAACTATTAAATAAAATTATCTTAACCCTATCGCTACAGGTTTTTCTATGGTCAGGAGTCAAAGGGCATGTCATCACATTTGTAGACTTGCATTCAAAATTTTACTGGATTCCTAACTATTAATTTTGTGTGTGTCATGTGGTATGTTGAATGCAGCTTTGGTTCAAATTATATGTTTGTGATGTCCAACCACAAAGTCTATAGTTTCTTACAAATTAGAAACTCATTTTATCAATATTTACTAACTAGAATATAAAATACAAACCTCCTATCTTTTCTACTTGCTGAGTTATCACTATATTTAACAAATCAAACAGTGGCCCTGCCCACCTCTTCCATTTTTGGAAGTACTTGCTTATGTACACCCATTTTGCACTATCACATGTTTATAACCAATCAAAAGCTCTGAGCTTTCCAAGATTATTTATTTCGTCTTGAATCTCAGAAGGAAGGGGTAAATGAAAAAGTTAGTAAGCCCGATAAATTACAGTGGAATTCTGCAATACTGATAAGAGTAATTCATAATTTTTTTATTTCAAAATGCATATATAAAACCTAAAAAGGATATTTTGTTTTACATCCTCCACAGGCAAAATTTGGCAAGGCTTGGAATGCAAGGAACAGCATGTCAAGTACGGCAAGCGAGTACAAACTTCTTTACAATCATAAGTAGTAGAGATTATTATTTTCTATATTTCTTTATTTACTGTTCTATGTTTTAAGAAAAATAACTGAAATTTAAGAAGTTATTTGTAAATAGTAACAGTATATATATATATATATATATATATAT